ATATATATGTGTGATTTTAATATTTCTTATCTATTTCTCTTTCAGGTGGAGAGTAGAGAGTAAAAAATTTCAATAGAAAATACCAACGTGGTAGGTCAAGACTAAACCTGACAAAATGATTACATGCACATCACTGTTTGAAATCTTTTTTTCTGAGGTGAGAATATGATCAAAAGTTTGGATACAAAAAATAATGCCACCACGCAACAGTCATACAGGCTAGGGAAAAATGTCAATTCCCCAACCAGTTGGCAAGTTATTGCTAGACTAAGCTGTGCAGCACTCTATTTGTAAACACTTTTACCTCTTAATAGCATTAAACCTCAAGCAACCATTTACCCACTGGTGGTGAAATACACACTACCGTATGGTGAATGGAGGTGTGACTCATGACACATTTTATACAAGTCTGTATAAAACTACATGGACAAATCAACAATATTTAAAGACATTATCCATACACACGCAATTGACTGATTTACCTGCAAGGCCTCCAGGAAGCGGAAAGATCCAAGACGCCGGCCCCGTGGCACCAGGCAGAAGGTAGAGTTATGAAGTAGCTCCTGGTAGTCAAACCTATGCAAAGACACATTTTTAGAAAATAATTAGAAAGTGGGCAAAAAAACTGACTAAAAATGTGCAAAAATGGTTTTGTTATGTGAAACGATATTTTAAATATATTCTCAGAATCAATTATCAGATGAGGAAAAGAGAGATAAATAAAGATAATCAAATGTCTAAAAGTTGTGCATTGTTCAAGACATTTCAGTGCATTTTTCTGATCTATAGAGTGGAAACAAACAAAGGCCAAAGTGAAAAATGATTGTCAGGCTGAATCTATGCTCCCACTTTGTCACTTCCTCCTCAGTGTCCAAACCTCAATTTCACAGAACAATCAAAAGCAGCTTACTTTTAAATGACTACCGCAGCCTTTTTTCAAGGACTTTCCTAAAATGTGTCTTTGTAGAAGTCAGGGTGGTACCTCCTTCAGATCAAAAGATATGGAGGATGGTGGATAAATAATAAAATGTGCTGGAAATAGCACTCCGCAGCTGTTATAAAATCAAACATAGTGGCCCTGAACACATTTCATCTGATCAAGATATGAGAACAGAGAATCGTCCATGCTGGGTTGCTTTCAGTGAAGGCTTCAGTCAGCTGTGTTGGAGAGAACTATTGATCTGAAAGCATAGTTTATCTTGTCCGTCAAGTGAGATCAATGAAAACGTTTGAAGGCCAGTGCTAATATTTTTCTAATGAAATTCTTTTAGTGCAGGTTAGCGTCCCCTTAGGGTAGAGTGAGTTAGATTTCACTCAAAGGTTAGCTGATTTCAACTTGAAGCTAGTGTGACTGCAGAAAATTGTAAAAAATAAGAAAAAAAATCAAATCATAACCATCAATCGCTTGTCCTTGTACATTGCTCCTACATAGAAACCTGAAAATTCAGCAGTAATAATGGACTTGGCTGAGAACCTGAAGTCATAGAAAAACATGTATTATGAATGTACTGTAGTAATGGTGGTATGAATAATCATTAAACATAACGTTGGCGGGAGACTTTTTTCTTGCCATAATTCTGTAGTCTTAAGAAAAGTGTGTTGCTGATAATACTGGTACAAAAGAAATATTTAATATATACTGATGACATAGGAAAAAGGTTCATATAGAGATAATTAGACTCAGGTTTTAGTACATTTGTAACCTCAACACGATTAACGTTTGGAGTCTAGTTTTATTTGCATTATTGTTAAATAGTTCGAACAGGACAATTTTTACCTGATCTGTGTTGTGAAACATCACTCCACCTGATTTTGATTTAGGTATTTTCTGTAAAATGGGATTTCTTCCTCTCCACAGTCTCCACGTACCTGCTCACAGAGGATTTTTGGAGTTCTCGTTCTAATATTATTTTACTATTGTAGGGTCTTTATTTTACTAGAAAGTGCTTTGACATAGCTGTTGTTGTGAACTCTGACACTATTCTGTGGTGTAGAGTAGAGACAGTAGTAACACATGTCCCCTGTATAGTGTTATTTAGTTTTTGTCCCATCTCCCACTGGAAAGTGAGATAAAAAGACTGTAGCAAACATAAAAAGGAGCATCTACTATGCAGATAATAAAAGTAATCGAACATATATGAAGTATTATATATGTTCTAATAAAATACTGAATTCAGGAACAGTAATGCAAGATCGTGCAACATTAAAAAGAAACATTTATTATACTTATGATGCTAATATTTACAAGAATTACTACATTACTTTTTGTAAATTTAAAAAAAAAGCATAAGTAATGCCTAACGTCCAAAATGCGGTTATCTAGAGATAACGCATCAGTGATCAAAAATGATTTGTCTTTAAAAAAAAGTTTTCTATAAACTCTAATAGTTGGACTTCAGACTTTACTCAACTTTTTTTTTTCCTGGCAAGTCACTTTTGTCAGTCGAAAGTCTTTGACTTTAAAGCTCTGACAGCGTATGTGTCAGCGTGTGTGTGTGTGTGTGTGTGCGTGTGTATGTGCATGATTTGAGGGCTGGCCTGAGGAGATTTCAGTTTGGAGTCTAATCTGTCTGGGGATCAACTGTCCACACAACCTCAACACTAGACAGGTGTGTGTGTGCATGTGCATGTCCACCTGCCTGGAATGTCTGCCTCCATAATGTGGGTGTATGATAAGTCTTCATGATGAGAAAGCGTCTGGCATATCACTTACTGTCACTGCACTTTTTGTGTGTTGCAGTGTGTGCGTATATGTGTTTGTATTTGTGTGACAGAGGAAGCAAGCATAATAAGATGTCAGACGTCCAGTTTGTCACCCAAAGACAAGGTCATGTTGACTGCCACTGAGGGAAATGAACAAAGACAAAGTCAGCTTGTCACATCTAAAGATGGGAATTTGAGAATAACAAGACATACTATTTGGCTAAAATTAAATCTCGCTTCACCACACAGCTCCTCTGATTCACGCTTTCATTGCCAAACATGACTTTTTTGTAAACTCCTTTCAATAAAGCCTGGTTTGTTTTTTATGATGTCATCATCGCCTGCCTTTCCCAGAGGCCAATTCGGTAATGAAATGCCCGGGGAACCTGGCTTGTTTTGGTGAGGTGAAGCTGTTTTGTCCTGAGATGCAAGCTGAACCCTAATTTTGGACATTGGAGGATTTTTGAGGTCTTTTGGCATTAAAGCCCCAGAGTTGGAGATACAGCCTATCCCAGCTGTCTTAGGGCAAGAGGCACGTCTTTGGACTGTGGGAGGAAGCCGGAGAGAACCCACACAAACATATGGAAACTCACTGATGGAATTAAACTCTGGACCCTCGTGCTGTGAGCCAACAGTGACAACCACCTTGCCACCGATGCTGTAAAATGACTAGCTAAATGTTTTGCGATTTGAATTCATAACCTTGTTTAAAATGGTTCGTCTTCTAGTAAAGTTTTGGAGGCAGTCGTGCATTTTAACCAAACAGAAAACTGAGAAAATGTGCTCTGGATGCACAGAAAGTGCAGATTATGAAGTGTCTTTATTAGATATTAGACTGTCGTCGCTCTCACTGACTGGCTGATCCTCTCAAAACACAATTTCTCAACTGATTAAACTGTCATCACACCTCCTGAGCCACCTGCCGCAGTGTTTGCATTAAGGGGCTGCAGGGTGTCTCACCTTACACCTGTGTGTGCACATAGTGCTCTACCTTTTCCTTACTGCTAGTTTCCGTAAGTGAATGACAGCGTGTGTAAGCTCCATGCTCCTCTTATGTACATTTATAATGTAAACAATTATTTTTTTCTTGTGCAGGTAACACTGTTCATTTTCAAAGATCTGCACTGAGTGTATGAGAAGGACCGGTTATGCGACTACAATACATGTCACAATATTTTTCAAATACCTATGTGAAGCAGTGCAAGAGGTGCAGCTGTAACTGTAAGATACTATGTTGCACATGCAAATGAGGATGATTTGTTATGATATCTAAAATATAGCAGTCATTATTAAAAGCAATCAAGAATATCTCCTTCACGTCTTTTATGTTATCTTTATTCAACCAGTTTCTGGTGTATAATCAGCCTTCCCTCCACTTTTCTTGTAATTTTCAAATACTAAATAGGTTTTGTGTGATTTTCTTTCTCCTTGTGGGCAGGAAAGTCACATAAAGACAGACAAGACAAAGTCAGAGTTGGATGATACCCAGTAAGAGAGAATTAAGAATCAATACGTGCCACATAGAATCACTCAGAACATTTTAGCTGAAAAACAAAAGAAAGAGTGTTGTTCACTATAAAGTAAAAGGGTTTTCTCAGTAGAAGACACTAAATAGTTTCAGGAGTGATGGATCAATACGGTTTACAGAGTGAAAAATGTGCCCTTTTATATCTGAAGACAAGCCAGAATCCAAAAAACAAAATATTTCACAGAAAATACAATACAGCTGGAGAGCTCTCCTCACAGAAAGACAGACAAAAATATTGTTGGTAATTGACAGCTCTGTCTGTTGTTTACTGTCTGATTCAGAAAATATTTCAAAAGGTTCCCAACACGGCTTGAGGATAAAAGGGTAGACACAGATACAGACTGATGGATCAACAACAAAAGTAATGGGTTTATCTAATTCTCCAGAAATTAGAACTGAATCCATGACAGCAGACAATAATTTAACCTGAAATTGACAAGAATCAGTGTAATGATGTGAATCTTCAATGAGATGATTATCAGTTGACTTGTCTGGTTTGATATTATCATATTCCGCACACACGCTATGCATTGCATGTTACTGCCATTGGTTTCACTGTCAATAGAGAAAAGTGTCAACAAATGTACTGACCTGCATGTTTTTAAACTGGAAAAAATAAAAGCTTTACACGTGTTGCAGAAAAGCCCGTATTTAACTAGACAGTCCAAGCTCACAACATTTATTATGACAAATGTGATGTGATACGTAAACTGCAAATGCCTTTACCAGTAATTACTACTACTACTCTCTCTCATACAGACATCCCTCTAGGTGTAATTGTTCAGTATGTGTGGCTTATCATTTGCTGTGTAGACTCATAAATTATGAAGCAGAGAGACACAACCAAGAACATCGTGGAGGAGAAAATGAACAGCCTTTGTTCACAGAAGAGCAAACAAGGCTAAAATGTTGCTCACTTGTGTAATTTAGGAGAGAATGAATTGAATAACTTGAACCACACAGTGGAAAATGTCTTCCTTAGAACAACTATTCAGGCACCAGGGTCTTTAAATGCAGTATATATATATATATATATATATACATACATACACATACATATATATACACATATATACTGGGGTCTTTCTGCGTGGAGTTTGCATGTTCTCCCCGTGTTTGCGTGGGTTCCCTCCGGGTACTCCGGCTTCCTCCCACCGTCCAAAGACATGCAGCTTGTGGGGATAGGTTAATTGGATAATCCAAATTGCCATTGGTGTGAATGTGAGTGTGAATGGTTGTCTGTCCCTGTGTGTTAGCCCTGCGACAGACTGGCGACCTGTCCAGGGTGTACCCCGCCTTTCGCCCTATGACAGCTGGGATAGGATCCAGCGCCCCCCGCGTATCAAAAGGATAAGCGGAAGCGAATGGATGGATGCATGGATATATACATACATATATACACACACACACATCAGCTACAGTCATCTGTTCTGCTTCATTACAAAGTATTAAAGAAGTGGGTAAACATTGGCTGACATTAGCAGCAGCACTCAGACTAAGAAGGTCTTGCTGTGAGAAAATGAATTTTCTCTCAAATTTCAATTGCATCACACTGTAGAATAAAGATAAAACATAAAAATAAAATAAAAACTAAATGTTAACTTGGACCAGGGATTCCCTATTAACAGCTCCTCGTGGTGATAACACTTGCTCCCATTTTTAAAGAAAGAGACCTCCAGCAGGACTAGGCTAAGGAAGAGTCAGCAATCTGCTGCAATTAGTTGAAGTAAGGGAAAGAGAAGACAAAAACTGAGAGCAAAGAGATCATAAACAGCAATGAATAAAACACAGAAAGAGTAGACAAATCTTAATGAAGTGATAAGCAGCGAGTGGAGGAGGAGAAGTGCTCAATCCATCATGAAAAGTCCCCACAGTAGCCTGACTAAAGGATGATCCAGGATCACCTGATCTGGCTCTAACTTTAAGATTTACTAGGACTAAAATTAAAAGTGTTTGTCTCCTGAACCCAAATTGGGTTCCAGAGGAGAGGGAGCCTGATAACTGAAGGTTCTGCCTTAATTTTGGAAAGTCTATTAACCACAAAAACATGCATTTACTACTTATTGCTAAAATATAATTGTGAGAATACAACAAATATTCAATTAACGGTTTAATTAAACTCCATTTAATGTAAAGATTGCAATAAAAAATTATTTATGAAATTATGTATTTATTTATTTTTGCTTTTGACAGTAAATGCTTGGCAACCGAAAAAGTCATTATTTATAGTTATAGTCATCAATTATAACTTTTATGAAAAGTTATAACACCCATAGCTGGACTGGCCATGGTGATTTTTTGTTTTTATGGGCTGATGTTTTGTTGTTTGTTTGTTTGGGGTTTTTGTAACGGTATAAACAAAGAAAGGTGGTGGATTGGCTAATTGGTCATGATCGACTTTGGGCTGGATAGATACAGCTGATGAGGTCGAACTTTGACGTTTCGTATTGAGCTAAAAGGGAACACAGTTTGTCCCGGACTTCAGCTAGAATGGAAAAAGACACAAAGCTGGGGTTATTCTGCATCTTTACGCTGTCAGCTGCCTCTTCATCTTTCATTCTCTCCCCCTCCCTCTCCTGTTGCTACTTGAATCATGAAACTGATCAATGATCAGCTGATCGGCTTTTCTCACTTGTTTGTTTATCGCCCACTTTGCGCCAGAAAGAGGAAATCAGCGGAGTTCGCGTTAAACAACAGCAGCATGTTTAAACTTGATCAGCTGTTGTTAGAATTTATTTAATATTAATTTCTAGTATCAGCTGATGTTTGCTGGAGCCACAGCTGTAAAGCTGCTGGTCATGATGTCGGTTTGGTTATGTGGTGAGAGGGAAACATGAAGATGAAACCAGGAGATGTCCTTACTGAATCATCAGAGCTGAACAGGTGATGGAGAAACAGGTTTACCTTTAGGTGACTTGAATATGTTGAAGGGAAGTTATGAACTGAGACAAATAACACCAGAATCCCTTTTTTTACGTAGCTGACAGCTGGTAACTGTGCAGGGGCGGGTCTAACAAAGTTTTGCCAGGGGGCCAGGTAGGGCATTAACAGGGAAAGGAGGGCGCAAAGTCTTACTTTTCTTTCTTATTCTCATTTCAAATGTCTAGTTTTTAATAAATTATTATCTGAATCTTACAACTAAAGTTTTTATCTGATCTAAAATGTGTCGAAGCCCATTAGTGTATGTAGTAAATATTAAGTCTAATATACAACCTAGTAAGTTATAGTACTTTTTTCCCTTTGGGAAGGTACCATCCGTGCAGTCTGCAGTTCTGTTGATGAAAGATGTTGAATTTATTTAATTATTGTAGAAAAACAATTGATTTCTGTGCATTTGTTTTACACATACATTAAAGTTAATTATGTCAATTAAGGCGGAGGGTGGGGGGTGGTTCCTTATTTTTTTATTTTCTTTTTTTGCTACGGA